ACAAGATATGCTCAGTCTTCCAGGTTTAATGACACCCAAAATCCTTCAACCCAGAAGACTGAGGACATACTATAAGTACATGACCACAGCACCTTCTCTATGGCATTGTCCCCTGCAGTATCTGTTTTCTACCACAAGATATCCTCAGTCTTCCAGCTTTAATGACTCCCAAAATCCTTCAACCCAGAAAACTGAAGACATACTGTAAGTGCAGCTCTATAGCATTGTCCCCCGCAGTACCTGTTTTCTGCCAAATGATATCCTCAGTCTTCCAGGTTTAATGACTCCCAAAATCCTTCAACCCAGAAGACTGAGGACATACTGTAAGTGCATCACTACAGCACCTTCTCTATGGCGTTGTCCCCCGCAGTATCTGTTTTCTACCACAAGATATCCTCAGTCTTCCAGCTTTAATGACTCCCAGAATCCTTCAACCCAGAAAACTGAAGACATACTGTAAGTGCAGCACTACAGCACCTTCTCTATGGCGTTGTCCCTTGCAGTACCTGTTTTCTACCAAAAGATATCCTCAGTCTTCCAGGTTTAATGACACCCATTGTCCTTCAACCCAGAAGACTGAGGCCATACTGTAAGTACATGGCCACAGCACCTGCCATATGGCTTTGTCCCTTGCAGTACCTTTCTTTTGCCACAAGAGGTCCCTAGTTTTCCATGTTTAATGACACCCAACATCCTTCAACCCAGAAGACTGAGGACATACTGTAAAAGTGCAGCACCCTCCTCTCTGGCGTTGTCGCCTGCAGTACCTGTTTTCAACCACAAGATATCCTCGGTCTTCCAAGTTTAATGACACCCATTGTCCTTCAACCCAGAAGACTGAGGACATACTATAAGTACATGACCACAGCACCTTCTCTATGGCGTTGTCCCCTGCAGTACCTGTTTTCTGCCAAAAGATATCCTCAGTCTTCCAGGTTTAATGACACCCAACGTCCTTCAAACCAGAAGGCTGAGGACATACTATAAGTACATGACCACAGCACCCACCATATGGCTTTGTTCCCTGCAGTACCTCTCTTCTGCCACAAGATGTTCTCAGTCTTGTATATTTAATGACACCCAATGTCCTTCAGCCCAGAAGACTGAGGACATACTGTAAGTATATGACCACAGCACCTTGCATTCCTTTTATTGTATTCTTGCAAGTCATCATGTCAGTGCCTCTCTCTACATCACTGAGGGTTCCCATTGCTAGCAGTAGATTCTAGGAGGACAATGAACCCTGTCGGTAAATTCCTGCAAAGTGGATAGGGCATACTCCCTACACCATATTTTTCTTTCCCCTGCTGCTTTTGCAAGTCAATTCCAGCTGTAAAGATTACAGCGGGGAATTGTTCTGAATTGCAACAAGCTGCTGCTGTGTAAATCAAAGCTTCTAAAGCAGGGTTTCTTAACCAGGGTTCCATGGAATTCTAGGGTTTCTCCAGAGGTTGCTAAGGTTTCCTTGAGCAATGAGCAATTTATGCTTGTCAGATAAGTGCCCACTGACACCAATACTCTTTTTGGCTATTTGTAAGGGGAAATTATTCCCAATGGCCACAAATGAGAGGAGCATTCTTCCCACTGACCATCACACTGATGGATCATGAGTTGTAGATATAGTACATTTTAGCAGGGGTTCCAAGAGACCAGAAATATATTTCAAGGATTCCTCTGCATTGAAAAGGTTGAGAAAGGCTGCTCTAAAGCATGCTCAAAGGGGATACTCCAGAAATTTTCTATGGGCTCTTTTAGGAGAGGACAGTGGCCAATGGATCTCCTGCTTACATTGACCATTAATGTAAGGGGTCCCTTCACCATAGACAACCAATGTGAGGGGCCATTTCTCTACTAGCCACCAATATATAAAGGGAATCCATCTCCACTGATGACCAATGTAAGAAGATTCGTTTCCACTGATCACCAATGTACATGGGTACTTTTTCAATTACCACCAATGTAAGGAGCCATGTCTTTACTGACCACCAATATAAGGGGGTCCCTCTCCAGTGACCACTAATATAAGGGTGCCCTTCTTCACTGATCACCAATGTAAGGTGAAACTAATCCACTGATCAACAATGTCAGGGGACATTTTTACATTTACCACCCAAGTAAGGGGACACTTCTCCACTGATCACCAATGTATGGTGAAACTTAGCCACTGATCACCAATGTATGGTGAAACTTAGCCACCGATCACCAATGTAAAGGGACACTTCTCCACTGATCACCAATGTAAGGTGAAACTTATTCCCCCGATCACCAATGTAAGGGGACACCTCTCCACTGGTCACCAATGTAAGGTAACACTTTTCCACTAATCACCAATGTAAGGTGACACTTATCCACTGGTCACCAAAGCAAGGAGACAATTCTCCACTGATCACCAACGTATGGTGAAACTTCTTCAATGATAACCAATATAAGGGGACACTTATCCACTGGTCACCAATATAAGGAGACACTTCTACATTTACCACCCATGTAGGGGGACCCTTCTCTACTGGTCACCCATGTAGGGGGACCCTTCTCTACTGGTCACCCATGTAGGAGGACCCTTCTCTACTGGTCACCAATGTAGGAGGACCCTTTTCCACTGACCACCAATGTGGTGGGACAATTATCCAATGATCACTAATGTAAGCAGACACTTTTACATTTACCACTCATGTAAGGGGACCCTTCTATACTGATCACCATTGTAGGGGGACCCTTCTCTACTGATCACCAATATAAAACTGGGAAAATGTAAGGTGATCCACTGATCACCAATGTACGGGACACTTCTCTACTGATCACCAATGTAGTGTGACCCTTCTCCACTGATCAACAACGTAAGGAGGCGCTTCTACATTTACCACCCATGTAAAGGGACACTTCTACACTGGCCACCCACGTAGGAGGATCCATCTTCACTGACCAACAATGTGAGGGGCCACTCCTCCACAGACCACAAATGTAAGGCATCTGGAAAAGGTCAATTAAAAAAAAAAACCTAAAAGGAAATAGACTTGGGAGGAAGGGGAGATGTGGGTCCTCTTCAGTGCAAGTAAACAGAGAGTGGGTGCAAAATGCCTGCACAAAATCAGCAGCACAGATATGCAACAAACGATGACAAAAGGTGAAAATGAATATTGTATTCAAACCGAATGGCAACTGTTTAGAATACACGCTGCACATGGCAAAATAAATGCCATTTAGGGTTTAAACTTGCTTTAAATTGTCATAATTTCACAATTTTTTTTCTCATGCACAGATTGGGATTCTCCATAAAAAAAACAAAACTGAAACGGCAACATCTGTCAGTGCAGTCATATTTTCTCAAACATATGCTCATTGCTGAAACTAAAAATAGCCGTCATCAGCACCCACTCGGTATGGTAATGCTTATGTTTAAGAAAAAAAGACATCTGGACTGGAAAATGCAATGCCCTGGAATATCCCTTCCTTGCCTTGTGTATGTGAAACATACAGAACTATGTTAATGAATTAATAGTGAGAATCTGCGTACCGATAAACAGCCAAATCTCTTCCATTATCTTCTAATCAGATCTAATATTTAATGCTGCCGTTCAATCTGCTTATATTTTTCTCTCCCCATCATCATCCTAATAACATTTTAAAATAAAAACTTTCTATTTTCAGTACTTTATTTTGGACCCTGTGACATCATCACTGGGTTTCTGTGCTTCTCTATGAAATGCATGCAGATCATGGCTGGTGGGAGGGGCCGTCAGGGTTCTGTACATAGCTTCCTCAAAACATCACAGCACCCTGCCTCAGTATTCTTCTTAAACAGTCCTCAATCCTGATGCAAGCAGTGGGCTGGCTCTTGGGAGGAGTATTGCAAATATCAAAATGCCTTGTTGGTCATTCAGCTGGCCCTTCTCCATTGACCACCAATGTAAGGAGCTACTTTTTCACTGACTTGCATGGGTGATCAGTGCAGAAGGACATCCTTACACTGATAGTCAGTGCAGAAGTGTCTCCTTACATTGGGCGATCATTGGAGAAAGACACCCACTGGTAGAGTTTCTTTCTCTACTGACCACCAATGTAAGGGGAGCGATCTCCACTAAACCCCAATGCAATTGGACATTTCTCTCACTAACCACTATTTTAAGAAGTCCTTCTTCATGGACTACTAATATATGAGGCCCTTCTCTGCTTGCCACCAATGTTAGAAGACCCTTCTCCGGTGACTATCAATGAATGTAAAAAGACACCTCTCCAATGACATTCAGTGTAAGGGGAGCTTCTCCAATGATCACCAATATAAGAGACTTTCTCCACTGGTCAACAATATTAAGGGGATATTTCTCCACTACCCACCAATGTAAGGGAACACTTCTCCATTGACCTTCAGTGTAAGAGGAGACCTTCCTCCACTTGCCACCAATGTAAGAGGACACCTTCCTCCACTGGCCACCAGTGTAAGTGAACACTTCTCCCATTGATCTTCAGTGTAAGAGGAGCTTCTCCACTGACCACCAATATAAGAGGACACCTTCCTACACTTGCCACCAATGTAAGAGGACACCTTCCTCCACTGGCCCCCAGTATAAGGGGACACTTCTCCATTGACCTTCAGTGTAAGAGGAGCTTCTCCACTGACCACCAATGTACGGGAACACTTCTCCATTGACCTTCAGTGTAAGAGGAGCTTCTCCACTGACCACCAATGTACGGGAACACTTCTCCATTGACCTTCAGTGTAAGAGGAGACCTTCCTCCACTTGCCACCAATGTAAGAGGACACCTTCCTCCACTGGCCACCAGTGTAAGTGAACACTTCTCCATTGATCTTCAGTGTAAGAGGAGCTTCTCCACTGACCACCAATATAAGAGGACACCTTCCTACACTTGCCACCAATGTAAGAGGACACCTTCCTCCACTGGCCCCCAGTATAAGGGGACACTTCTCCATTGACCTTCAGTGTAAGAGGAGCTTCTCCACTGACCACCAATGTAAGAGGACACCTTCCTCCACTGGCCACCACTGTAAGGCAACAGTTCTCCAATGACCTTCAGTGTAAGAGGAGCTTCTCCACTGACCACCAATGTAAGAGGACACCTTCCTCCACTGGCCACCACTGTAAGGCAACAGTTCTCCAATGACCTTCAGTATAAGAGGAGCTTCTCCACTGACCACCAATGTACAGGAACACTTCTCCACTGACCACCCTCCACTTCATCCTCATTCTTTCACACTCTACAACCCTACTGATCATACTTTGAATTGCAGTCATAATCATTTTATTGGGGTTCACTTTGACCTGAACACTATTTTAACGGTTCTTCCACAGTAAACTGGAGACATGTTACATTATATACTTCTTATAGAATTACTCAAGTGTGGCCAACAAGTCACGCTTCTCCATGTCATACTGGTTTACCTCTCTGATCATGACAGGTATAAGAAAGCTTCAAGGTCCCATGATACTGCCCAGTCCACTTACCAGGTAGAATTTCCAACTGCTACTTCCCAGTAATGACACCCACTGTCAATGAAGACATTCCCTGTTGCCCCGTAGCAGCCCGTCCCGCTGAACCGCTCAGGCGTGTGGCTCTTCTTCAGGGAGCTCTCTTCTTTCTCCATCTGCATTCCGTCATTTGATATCTTTAGCTTCTTGTGAGCAAATTTGGGGTCAAGTTTGAATGGCTGACCTAGAATTAGAAATGACATACAGAATCAGACTGAATGAATGGCGACACATAATATTCTACGTACTTTCTATATTCCTCTAACGTAATTATCCAAAACGTTTTTTCAGACAGATTTAATCATTTCATCTTTGTTTTAAGCTACCTGTGCCTTGTCTGTTAGAACTGAGCAGATATAAGAGACAACGCCTTGTTCCTTTGTATCAAATTATTTAATGTCTTTAATTAATCTAGTAAAGGTACCTGAAATATGACTTGGTATCAGCAGCTTTCGATCACTTGTACAGCAAAATGAGAGAGAGAGAGGGGGGGCAACACTGAGAACCAATCAGGTGTGCTCCATGGAAGGAATATGCTGACAGGAGGAGAGATCAGAGTAAGCATGGGATGGTCTCTTCAGTTTGCTGCTGCTCTTTCACTGTCCAGTCAAAGGTTGGTAGGTGGCGGGACTTGGAACCAATCTGGTGTGCTCCATGAAGGAACATGCTGATGGTAGGAGAGAGGAGAGTGAGCAAGGGATGGTCTCTTCAGTCTGCTGCTGCTCTTTCACTTTCCAGTTATAGGTTGGTGGGTGGAGGGAGGACCTTAACTGTAGGTGGTGTCCTTCTCCTGGCTGTGCTATGGGGAGGAGCAGTGCAGGCTTGGAAATGGATGGACAGAAATACAAATACATCTGCTCAAAATACATACACTATTATTGCCAAAAGTATTGCACCCGCCCTCCAAATTATTGGATTCAGGTGCTCCAATCCCCTCCATGGACACAGGTGTATACAATCAAGCCCCTAGGCATGCAGACTGCTTCTACAAAAGAAAGAATGGGTCGCTCTCAGGAGCTCAGTGACTCCAAGCGTGGTCCCGTGATAGGTGGCCACCTGTGCAATAAGTCCATCCGTGACATTTCTTGGCTACTAAATATTCCACGTTCAACTGTTAGTGGGATTATAACAAAGTGGAAGCAACTGGGAACAACAGCAACTCAGCCACCAAGTGGTAGGTCACGTCACATGACAGGGCGGGGTCAGCGCATGCTGAAGCGCGCAGTGCGCAGAAGTCACCAACTGTCTGCAGAGTCAATAGCTAAAGACCTCCAAACTTGGTGTGGCCTTCAGATGAGCCCAACAACAGTGTGTAGAGAACTTCATGGAATGGGTTTCCATGGCCGAGCAGCTGCATCCAAGCCTTACATCAACAAGTGCAATGCAAAGCGGCGGATGCTGTGGTGTAAAGTACGCCGCCACTGGAATCTAGAGCAGTGGAGACGTGTTCTCTGTAGTGATCAATCATGCTTCTCTGTCTGAGTTGGTGGCTGCCAGGAGAACGGTACTTGCCTGACTGCATTGTGCCAAGTGCAAAGTTAGGGGGATTATGGTGTGGGGCTGCTTTTCAGGGATTGGGCTTGGCCCCCTAGTTCCAGGGAAGGGAACTCTTGAGGCGTCAGCCTACCAAGACATTTTGGACAATTTCATGCTTCCAACTTTGTGGGAACAGTTTGGGGATGGTCCCTTCCTGTTCCAACATCACAAGGTCCATAAAGACATGGAGGAGCCAGTTTGGGGTGGAGGAACTTGACTGGCCTGCACAGAGTCCTGACCTCAACCCCATAGAACACCTTTGGGTGAATTTGAGCGGAGACTGCGAGCCAGGCCTCCTCCCCCGACATCAGTGCCTGACCTGACAAATGTGCTTCTGGAAGAATGGTCCAACCTTCCCATAGACATCCTCCTAAACCTTGTGGATGGCCTTCCCAGAAGAGCTGAAGCTGTTATAGCTGCAAAGGGCGGAGCCAACTCAATACTGAACCCTATGGACTAAGACTGGGGGGCCATTAAAGGTCATGTGTGTGGAAAGGCCGGCAGACCAATACTTTTGGCAGTACAGTGTATGTGCAGTTTTGCCAGCCAGCATTGATGAAACGTGGCTGG